TTTTGAAGAGACCTGAATTCCCCATTGAATATCGAAATAAAATACTGGGTGTTCCTTTTAAAATAAAAGAGTAAGTTGCTCTGAAATGTGACCAATATTAAATATTAATTTTGTCTCACCCTGTATAACTTTTTTGGTCAAGTTTTAATTTAATTTAAAGTACAATGGTTATTTTACCTACATATTAGGCTATACCGGGTAAATTCCAATTTAGGTAGCTTTTATTGAAATTTAAAAATTGTTCTTCATTTTTAGAAAATGTTAAATCGGTCAAAAACTTTACATTTTAGACATATACTTCTCTAATAAAACTCGCCTTTATTTTTCTTCCAGAAACCGAAAATAAATTAATATATAGGGTGTTCCATTACAAAAAAAACCACAACTTTGATGTATAACTTTTTTTGAGGCGCCCTGTAGAGCTCAATATATTTTTGAAAATGCTCTTAATTAACCTACACATACTCACGAAATTTCACAATGTAATACAAATATTTATTATTTGTAATACAAACTGTCTTTCTCCTTGGAGCCTCCGCGTCGTATGAGAGGCGCCACCCTGTATATTGTATTAGCTTATACAGGGTTCGGCAATAGTGCGTCGAGCATGTGTAGCTCCTAGAATAAAAAACTTAAGAATTTTGTTTAAGTGCAAATCTAAAGCGCCACCCTGTATATTGTATTAGCTTATACAGGGTTCGGCAATAGTGCGTCGGGCATCTCTAGCTCCTAGAATAAAAAACTTAAGAATTTTGTTTAAGTGCAAATCTAAAGTATGTTCTAGGATATATTCCAGGAAAATATTTTAACCTCCATAGGGTGGCTCAAAAAAGTGAGTGGATCGGAATGATTTTTTTTAAATGGAACACCCTGTATATTATTGCATTTTTGGTTCTTTTCAGATCACTTTACATAATCCTAAGATATGAGTAAATATGTTACGATAGTTTCAGAGATATTAATAAATAAATAAAAAATATATATTTTTCGGCCTTTCTTAAATTTTTTTTTAAAAATACGAGAACTATCCTGAAATCAAAACTATATTAGATATTTACTTTAGATGAACTGTACCTACTTTGCTATGAATATGGTAATAGTATATCATACAGGATGTTCAAAATTTTACGTCAAACTTTCTAAAATATAAAATAATTTTTCTTCGTTTTTCTTTTTAAATGGAACATCCTGTATATTATTTTTTCAATGAGTGGAGAATTAAAAAATGAATATTTTTTGTATTTGGAGTATTTCAAAATTTTAACGGTTTCGCAGATATTCGCGGTTTTATATTTCATGTGGCATTTTCAAGAGTAAATTTTTATCAAAGCCACCCAGTGAATTTTCTCTGGTATTTTAACGTTGAGAGATCCATATGAAATAATACTGCATGTATCTGCGAAACCATTAAAAATTTTGAAATACTTTAAATACAAAAAATGTTCATTTTTTATTCTCTATCTAATAAAAAAATATATACAGGGTGTTCCATTTAAAAAAAAAACAAAGAAAAATTATTTTATATTTTAGGAAGTTTGGCGTAGAATTTTGAACATCCTGTATGATTTAAGATTATGATATTTATAGCAAAGTTAAGTATATACCATCTAAAATAAATACCTAATATAGTTTTGATTTCAGGACAGTTCTTGTATTTGTAATATTTTTTTAATGATTGTTGAAAAATATAATTTTTTTATTTATTTATTAATAACTCTGAAACTATCGATATATATTTATTCGTATCTTAGGATTATGTAAAGTGATCTGAAAGGAAGCCAAAAATGCAATAATATACAGGGTGTTCCATTTAAAAAAAAACATCCCGATCCACTCATACTTTTTTGAGCTACGAATATAGAAGTTAAAATATTTTCCTGAAAAACATCCTTGTACAGTGTGTCTCATTTTTTTATCTCCGTTATTAGTGAAGATAAAAGGGTGCGGTTTGCACAAACCTGTCCCACTTTTTGGTCAAACGGAAGATGCTGCAAACAAAATTTTCATAGCCCTCTTCATTTCTGAGCTACAGGGTCTTTTCAAAAATTTTGCAATTTGGGACACCCCCTGTATCTCCGTTATTGTTAAAGGTATGGAGAAGGCGAAAACTGCTTATTGTAGAACTTTTTATGTAGAATACAGTAGCGTAGTCTGTTTTTCTACCAAAAAAATATTTTTGAAAATATGAACTAAAGTTATGTTTTTTCAAATGGTATATTTATAAATCATATGATCCCTGTATATTTATAAATCATATGATCTGTCTTGCTACGAGCTTCTCAAAAATATATATCACTCTATATTTATTTTCACTATTTACTGCAATATTTAAAATATATCATTTTCTTATTAGTAGGCCCTGATAAATAACAAAAAATCAAAATGGTATTTACTAAAATAGACATACACATATTAAAATTTATTTGGGATTGATATATTTTACTTTTGAAATAACTGTTTAGAATTTTAGAATTTAGAATGAGTGGGAGGGGGGGTAATCACTTCGACCTTACAGATCCATTCTGTCCCCCTTTCTTGAATCATAACTCATCATACAGTCCCAGGGCTTTGACAAAAGCCAGTATCTGGGACGGTTTTATAGAGGGTAGTAAATAACTGTCACCACTGAAACTGTGAATATATTTTTGTTTTTTTTATAACGGGATGGGTTTGCAAATATCTAAATCTTGAATTATTAAAGCATTTTTCAGGTGTTCGACATTGTTGTAGTGCCCACGATATATTTCGTATTTCAAAAATCCCCAAAATCAGAAATCGAGAACGGCGAAATCGGAGAATCGAGGAGGCTATCAATATGCGTTCATTGGTTCCAATTCATAGATTTGAAAAATAATAATTTAGCAGTATTCTAATATTTCCATAGTTATGAGGGGGAATGTTTCCCATCTTGCTGAAAGTATATTTCACGTAAATTAACTAAAGGAATATCTAAAATTTCCGATACGATAGATTATTCTTACGTATACACGTATTCCAAGATTTACAAATAGCGGTAGAGAGTTAAGTTTCCCTAATATATAAAGAATTTATTAGCGGCTCCCAAAATAAAACAAGAGACAGATAGCAGTATACTTTTAATAATTCTTTAGTTTCTTTTATTATCAATCATGGCCTACTAATAAATATGATCTTTTAATAAAAACTTTTAAATATTGCAGTAAATAGTGAAAATAAATATAGAGTGATATATATTTTTGAGAAGCTTATGGCAAGACAGATCATATGATTTATAAATATACAAGGTGTTCCATTTAAAAAAACATAACTTTAGTTCATATTTTCAAAAATATTTTTTTGGTAGAAAAACAGACTACGCCACTGTATTATCTACGTAAAAAGTTCTACAATAAACAGTTTTCACCTTCTCGATAGCTTTAACAATAACAGAGATACAGGAGGTGTCCCAAGTTGCAAAATTTTCAAAAAGACCCTGTAGCTCGGAAACGAAGAGGGCTATGAAAATTTTGTTTACGGCATCTTCCGTTTGACAAAAAAGTGAGACAGGTTTGTGCAAACCGCACCCTTCAATCCTCACTAATAACGGAGATACCGTATGATTTCAACCAAAATGGGACACCCTGTACATACTTTAGGTTTACGCCCAAACAAAGTTCCCAAGTTTTTTATTCTATGAGCTACAGATGCCCGACGCACTATTGCCGGACCCTGTATACTTACCTGTATCTACTATATACTTATATACTACTTATATTACTTACACCCTGTATATACTATATATTTACCCTAAAATGTATAAAACAACTTTTTATTGTAAAAGCGTATGCAATTTATATACATTTACTGCTGTAGACCATTTACATTTCTACAAGAGATTTAAATTTACATCCTACAGATAAAGCATCATTCTATAGAAGACATCCATTACTAGGTGAAAAATATACCAATAAACAACAAAATATCACCTACACCGAACAATTTGCCACTCTTTTGGGACCGTTGCTGTGCTTCATCCCCATACATTAATGAAAAATGTCAAGTTTTGATTAGCTTTATGGTCACATCTCTCATCGCATCCTACAGTTCTCGGTCTATATATGCGGATTTTCTCGTTGTTGTATGATTGAATTGTTATCTGGTCAGAAAATATTACTCTCGTATATTGTCAGAGGTGAAATATTCTCTTCAAAACCCTCTTCTAGGCTTTTTACGGTTCAAAATGTATCATCAGCTATTCCATTGTTTAATTTCATGCTATTTCATGTTTGCTGTTTTAGGTAAAGTCCCGAAGCTATTAAAATTTAGAGAGATACTTAGGCTTTTTTCTTATTTTCCTTTTATTCTTATTTCTTCATGCATGTATTCATTGTCGTATTGATGACTTTCAATTTTACTTTAGTTTTATGGAAATTACTTTTTTTGTAAGTCATGACAGTGAAATTAAAAAATCTTATAGGAAATACACTCAGATGCAAAAAAACACAACAGAGAAATTTTTGGTTAAATTTAAAGTGTTATATTTTTGTTATTTTTAGCCCTATTTGCATAACTTTTTTAGCGAACTGTACATAATTATATCAACTTTAATTCCTAAACTCAGTTTTTTGTAAACTTTAGTAATTTGCATATTATACAGGGTTAATCGAGGGGTTGCTTTTTTTATCCTAACTTTAAAACACCCTGTGCAATAATTTCGTGTGTAAATTTTCCTAAAATATAATTTTACGGTAAGAACCATGTCTCGTGAGCATTTCGTTTTTTGGATCACGTCAATGCATACTTTGGTTAATTTTTAAGAGCGAAATGAACTGATCACGAGCAATTTTTTCAGTTATGATTTTTCAGTTAAGATTATTAAGTTATGATTTTTTCAGTTAAGGAGACGAGATGGTTTTGGTACCATCATATATTTAACGTCATATTACGCTGCATCTGATACTCTATACTAAATTAAAAAAAAAAAAACGCTAAAGACTAACGATACAGTCCTGGTTTTAATAAACATTAATAATTAATAAACATTAATGACAGAAAGCAGTCGTGTTAGGAGGTAGAAAAATTATCTTGATGTTTTTTAACTGTACGTCACGTGGATGGGATGCAGCGTTATCAAGAAATAACAGTATTTTGCGTTTTTCTTTTTGAAGCTTCTTATCAAACAACATCAAGTAATCGGTCATTATTTGGCAAGTCATCCACGATTTCCTGTTGCAGTGCCAATACACAGGTAAATTGTTCAAATTAATGTTTTGAAAAGCACGGAGCCTTGCGGCCTTGCCGATCACCATAAATTTTTCCCTGTACCCCGCCATATTAGCACAACATATAATCGTTAATCTCTCTTTCGCCATTTTACCTCCCGCACACTTTTCTCCTTTAAACGCAAAAGTTTTATCAGGCAATGCCAGAAAAAGTAACCCAGTTTCATCGGCGTTATAAATGTCTCTAGGATGATATTCGGCTAAGCGAGAGGGAATTTTCTCGATAAAACTTCTAACGTCTTCAGGATTAACACTTGCACTTTCACCAGAGATTGTTTTAAAAGTGATGTTGTGCCTTTTTTTAAATCGCTCAAGCCACCCAGAAGAAGCATTAAAAGTCACATAATCTAATTTACTTGCTATTTCTTTAGCTTTCGATCTGATAAGTGTTCCTGATAATGGAATATTCTTCGCCCTTGCTTTAACAAACCATTCATAAGTAGCTCTGTCTATGTTGTATCCCTCGGTCTTGAAAAAACTTCGTTTCTGCAAAATGTTTACATTGGAACTCCACTTTCTTAAAAGTTCTTCTTTATTTTTGATAATTTCGGCTGCCTGTGTTTTCCCAATTTTAAATTTATCAGCCTGTGTACGGACACTAGGTTTCCCTATGTTGTAAAACTCGATAACATCGATTTTTTCCTTTAACGTTAACATACGTTTTTTTGTCGACATATTAATTAGCAAAACAGATTATAACAGGCACAAAAAGAAACCTAAACTCAACAAGAAATACGTGATCAGCGCAGCATGCCAATAGGCTCTCTAAACGATACTGCGCAATATTGCATCATTCGTGACAAAGAAGTCGTGCGGCGGCGATGCCACGTCGAACAAAATATTCTCGGTGTCCGTTTAACAGAGATCAAAGCGACAAAAATTGAGACAATTATGTGTCCGTGTCCGGTTAAAGGAGAGTCCGCATAAGAGAGAGCAGTTTATTAGTAAAGCTCTATTAGTTTATTCCGTGGTAAAATTTTTGTCCGCTTAAAAGAAATGTCCGTTTATGAGAAGTGTCCGCTAAGAGAGAGTACACTATAGTTCACAATAATTACCAAAGCTGCCTTGTTATACTGAAAAAAAACTTCAAAAATAAATTATAACTGAAAAAATTGCAAATTGTTGTTGGCAAGTTCATTTCGCTCTTATAAATTAACCAATGCATGTATTGACATGATCCAAAAAACAAAATGCTCAGGAGAGATGGTTCTGACCCTAAAATTATATTTCAGGAAAATTTACACACGAAATTATTGCACAGGGTGTGTCAAAGTTATGGTAAAAAAACCACCCCTCGATTAACCCTGTATACTATGCCAGATACTAAAGTTTATAAACAACTGAGTTTGCAAATTAAAGTTCATATAATTATATACAGATTGCTAAAAAAATCATAAAAATAGTGCCAAAAATAACAAAAATATAACAGTTTAAGTTTGACCAACATTTTCTCAAGTTGCGTTGTTTTTTGCATCTGAGTAATTCAATACAATACCGAGTGGGTAGTGTTTATATTTTCATGATATAAATTTGTCAAATGTCTATCTGTCATTTTTCTTAAATTTATTCGAGAAATCGCACAATTTTTTTTTCGTCCTAACTTATGGACCTCCTAGTAAGATACTCTTAGACGAAGTTGATGACATCCAATCAAATCTATTTTTATCTACATAAAACTCGATATAATTATGTTAATCAATATAGGCTAGACATTCGTTCAAAGCATACTTTTTCTCAACATTTTTTTAGCCAGTTTACCTATTATTCATAAAAATGTAGTGGAATTAAAGCAATAAAACACAATTGGAACAAATTCTGTTTTATTAGCTTTATTTATTTTCATGCTATTTACAATAGTTTTGTACTTAGTGAATAAAACTGTTTTTGTTTATACAGCTTGATATATGCGTTGTTTCCTTTGTTATCATTACTTTAGTCTATCCCTTATTAATCCCCTATTTCATTGCTTTTTATTGAATAAGTCATATTTCAAAAATCTACCATATTCAGTTATAAAGGAGAGTAACAATTATTTAGAGTGGTTTAAAAATTTTCACCAGGCTCTATTAATAAATGTCATCATCATCATGTTGAGATTATTCAGCTATTTCCAATTATGGTGTAGCCTCCCTCACATATTTAGATACTGTCTTTGTTGTCTATTGTTGACTATGCGGGCCCAAGTTACCCCTGTAACAAGTTATCCCTGTTTCTTTCCTAATATCATAGTCCCATCTCAGGTTCGGTCTTCTTCTAGGTCTCTTAATTTCTCGTGGGTATATTCCTGTAATTTTTCTGATCCATCTGTTGTTCGTCCTTCTTGCCAGGTGTATAACATAGGATACAACATTTTAATGAACAGTGCTTTCCATAAAATCAATAAAATGAAAAATATACGAAATAATATAAATGTACTGATATCTTTCGAAAATCGACAACTATGAAAGTATGAACCCTTCCCGGACACAAAGGTACATTTTGAAACAGGAAATTGTAGAGAGAAACAAGCCCTATAACATAGGATACGACATTTTAATGAACAGTGCTTTCCATAAAACCAATAAAATGAAAAATATACGAAATAATATAAATGTACTGATTTCTTTCGAAAATCGACAACTATGAAACTATGAACCCTTCCCTGACACAAACGGTACATTGTGAGACAGGAAATTGTAGAGGAAAACAAGCCCTATAACATAGGATACAACATTTTAATGAACAGTGCTTTCCATAAAATCAATAAAATGAAAATTATACGAAATAATATAAATGTACCGATTTCTTTCGAAAATCGACAACTATGACACTATGAACCCTTCCCGGACACAAACGGTACATTGTGAAATAGGAAATTGTAGAGGAAAGCAAGCCCTATAACATAGAATACAACATTTTAATGAACAGTGCTTTCCATAAAATCAATAAAATGAAAAATATACGAAATAATATAAATGTACTGATTTCTTTCGAAAATCGACAACTATGAAACTATGAACCCTTCCCGGACACAAACGGTACATGCTATTGGCTATTGGCTACAGTACTGGCTATTCGCAGCATATTTCGTTCCATTGAGCGTTGTGCGACCTGAAGTTTCCTTATGATGTCCGTTATAAGTGTCCAGGTTTCGCATACATAGGCCATGAATACCATCAACATATCTACCATGTTAATAAACTCATCATCCGTACCATTATTTTTATCTGCTTTGACGACTACTACTGTCAGTTCAGTTTGAAGGTCTTATACCTCAAAAAAGCATCTCTAATGATTTCTGTCTACAGACCAGATACCTGCAAATACGCTATGTAGCATTTGCTATACATACAGCTCTAGTATCAGATTCCTCTATTAAACATTGCTACTTTCCTAAATCGTACTGGTACTAATTGAGTAACAGCATACAGCGAGGTACTGTTTACGAAACATCATTGAAAATAACAAAATAAATGATTTAACAAAATCACTTACCATTAGTCATCAAATATTAGAGCACAGAGACAAAGAATCTTTGATATGTATTTTTTCTCTTTCTAATCTTATGCATGTCTTATTGGGCTTACTAAATATACCATAAGATATCCCGCCAATGCAATTACAAACTAGATATTGAAGTACCTAATGATTTAGTTTAGTGGAATTTCCCCTATTATATTAAACCATTTGAACAGTCCTTCGGCAAAGCAAATTATGAACTAAAGCATGTTTTAATGGTCTTAATTTAAGCCTAGGATTACTATAGGTTAATTTAAACTACAGGGAACACGCTGTATAAGTATTAAGAAAGTTCTGCAAAGTCTTGAAACTTAATTAGGAGTTAGTCGAAGTTGTCGTAATAAGATTTCCTACTTGACCCCAACCAGAACCAGAGATATACCTATTAGACTTTTTCCTCAAATCAAGTTTTAATTCAATATTTGCCACGATAAATTTCAGTCGTATAGGTTAAATGGTTTTATTATAGATGTTACTATAGTTATTTTTTATACAAAATGATAAAATGGTATTTCAAGGAATTTATTACGAATAGAAAAAAATATTGTGCTGGGTTGGCGTTGGTTTCTATGTAATTTGAAAAATAAATAAAAAAGTCTCTTTAGTTGTCAGTTTTGAGTCAATATTTTTTAATTTTCTTTCGTGTCGATTGCTGATTGAATTGGAGCCAGAAATGGCTCAAAACGAAATAAGTAAATTACCGACAGATATTCAGGCTGAGGCGACAAATGCCATATCCAAACTACTTCCATTTAAATCCCGAATAACTTATGAAAAGGAATACAAAAATTTAAAAAAATGGAAGCAATTAAAAAAACGTGCGAGAAGAAATAAAGTTTTTAACCTATCCTCGCTCTTAAAATATCATTTAATCTACCCTTGCGGTTAAAGTACTATTTTATCTACTATTTTTGATAGATATCAGGCAATTTTAACAGTTGCTATGGAAAAAAATATTACATCAGTGTATTATAAAGTGTGTTCCTTTTTATTTAGTATGTTGTAACTTTTAAACTAGTCAATTTTCATTTATTTCCTGGTTATTGTTTTTAAACAATTTTTGTATAGGCTTGGTACATTTCAGTTGATGTTAAAAATTTCGACCGCAGCGCCGAATATGGCAGAAATTAGAAGTGCCCGACTAAAGTATTTCACTCAATCCCGTTACCGTTTATGTCGGTGGCATTAAAATAATAGTAAGTACTAAAAATGTAATAATATACAGGGTGTTCCATTTAAAAAAATACAACTTTGATATTTTTTACTTATTTGGGACACTCTGTATCTTGTAAAATTATTTTTAAATTGTACCTCAAATAGTCCTTCATCGAACCCAAAACTTACAATTTGTAAAAATCTCATCGTTTAGCTACAATACTCCGTGTCGTATGTGGTGAACAACCCTGTATAAGTAATATATTTACAAATTTTTTATATATTTTAGTAGAAAATATTTTTTTTAAAAAAGCGTTTGAACAGAGTATATTTTTTTAAATACCTTAAAAATATTTTTTTTTATCTTTTTGGAAAGAACCTATTTATTTATTAAGCTAGAGAGAGCTTATTTTAATAGCATATAAATTGTTTTCAAAATTAAATACATATTAACGATGACAGTTTCAAAATAATTACTAATTGCAAATCAGGAGATATTAATGATAGTTTACGTAAACGAATAATTTGCATTACTGTTTAATAAATTTTGTCATTATTAGCTATATAATATGATGAAAACTGTATATTTACATATTAAAGTGGATGCTATTATGTATGTTATATAGTATTTTACCATAGATGGTTCTTTGATATACGTTGCAATTTATAATTATCAAATTTTATGTCGGTATAATTGGAATTTGTAGTTAAAATGTATAAGAAATAATAGTTCGTGTAGAACTAATTTCTATCGATATATCTCAAAAATTTAGACATGTTCAAAATCATTATTATTTTTTACTGTTTTATATTTAAACCCTTCAACTTTTATTTTATCATGATTTTTAAATAATATACCAATATATAAAATCCTTAAGTGACTGACATACTGATTAATCACGATCCTGCTCAAACCACTGAACGTAAGAAGCTCAATTTTGGCATACAGGTTGATTCTAGGGTGTAGAGGTTCGATAAGAAGGGATTTTTCGAAATTCCAGTTCCAAGAGGGTAAAACCACC